TATTGTGCTCTCAGTACTAGTTAGAATGTTTCATTTTGTTTTCTTTTCAACCTACGTATTTTCTATAGGAAGAGAAATTACTAATTGAGGAATCAACCCTTTTAATTGAGGAATCAACCTCTTAATTGAGAAATCAACCCTAGGAAACTAAGCTTGCATGCCTCTAGAACAGTTTCATGACAATTCAATATGTAAAAATATAAAAATAAGTTATATCTTTGTTAGCACTTTTACAAGAAAGGCAACAGCAAAACAAATGTATGAGGTAACATCACATAAAGCCATAAAGGATACACAAATACATATACAACATGCTTTCATTAAGTTTTTAGATTAGCATCAAAATGAAAACAAAATGTTTAACTTCTGGTATTAAGCTAGTAGCCCTCAGGAAGGATCATCAACCCAGATCAGAGACTTAGACATACTCCCAAATTAATATTTTAACTAGTAACATATGTGTATGTACACATATGTAACTATGTCTCAAGCAATAAAAATGCCAATATTTTTCATTTGTTCAAAAACAAAGCTAAATGCTCACTTTCTGGTTAGCATCAGGCACTTCATTCTTTAATACAGTAGTTCACAAATTCCTACTAGTGAGTTCTTTTTCTCCAACACAGCTTAGATAATAAAATACTATTAAACATTCACAGACAATGCTGGGGAGTTTCAATCCTGTCCAAACATTTTCGTTTGTTTGTATTTTTCTCCAGTTCAACACTTCTGATTTCATAGATTTAGGGGTTGTACAAACGCATAAGTTCTCAGTTACTAACTGAAAGGTGGGCACTCTGAATTCCTTCAGGGGCACCCGGGAGAAAAGCCTGGCATTTAACTTGTGTAAGACCATGGCCATGGAAAACCCTATATGATGTCATTCCACACTGACATATGTGGAGTTGCCATGAATTGGAATCAACTCAAAAACAAATGGTTTGGCTTTGAGGGTTTGGAGTTTTATTTGTTTACTTGTTTGGGTGATTTCACTAGTTTCCCTGAAATACAACATAATGAGCCCATTTATGAGAAATGATTACAGATGAGGGAAAGGTGAATATATTAAGAGCAAGTTGTGACAACATCTTAAGGAAGAAACTTGGCTTCTCTAAAATATTGATATTTTCTCATTTGTAATTAATGCTTTAGGATTTTAGAGTAAGATAACAAAGAATAGAAAGAACTTGATGCCCACGCTATATATTATTATTTTACTTCTTAGATCCAGAATTCAAACAAATAGAAAATAAGTCTTCACATACCTGTCATAACGCAGAGGTTGAGGAGAATGACCATTAAATTTGGGGCTGCTCCTAGAAATTGTATTTCCTGGAGAAATATTATTTATGCGCTGTAACATAGAAACAGTTTTGTTATATTCTGTGTATGTTTTCCCACATATTGTTCTCCTTGAAACATACTATTTAACTTCTTCAAACATGACCAACACCTTGAGATTCTATGTGAACTAATATGAGCAGGAAAATGACGCGAAAACTGCAAACAGATAACCGAGCATAAGGATTCCTCTTCATTATTGTAGCTGAAGTCTAAACCCTGCTGTGTATGACATAAAAGAGGACTTGTTCCCCAGGTTTACCAGTCCCCTGCAATACCAACTTCCTCAGATCTGTCTCTTCTCCCACCATCACTCACTCTGAACGTGCCTCGTTCACATTCAGAGCTGGCGATGCAGCTGGTGATGCAGCTGGCGATGCAGCTGATGGCCACACACCTGTGAAGAGGCTTTATGAAGAATGCAGTCTGGGGAAGGTCCTGAGATTCCAAATGGGAGCCTGGCTTGTTTCCGTAGAAGGGTTTGAAATCCCACGCTTCCCTTTGAGAACACAACTAAGATAAAGAAGACTTTTTATGTCAAATCATTTTGCCCTCTTAGCCTCTGAGGGGTAGGGGAGAGATTTTATTTTTACCCCCAAAAACTGCCACTTTTCCTTATACTTTTGTTATCTGTACACCTCCTGGGGGTGCTGTTGGACTGCTAACTGCAGGGTCAGCAGTTCAAACCCACCATGTGTCCCTCGAGGAGAAAAATGAGGTTTATTGCTCTGGCAAAAGTGAACAGCTTGGGGAAAAGGACTGCTATGATTCAAAATCAATTTGATGGCATTGGGTGCTTTTGGTTCTTGGTGTGTGCAGCTCCCTCTTTCAAATTCAAACACCCCTTTCATGTCTTTCTCTGTTTTCCTAGGACACCTATCAAAAAGAATTGGGTAACACATAGGCATTTCTGCAGAAGACTGGCAGACTATTTTTTTCTCTCATTGTTGGGAACTTGTTTCTCTGTATTGTAAGGATCATACATATATGAATATCACTTCCATGAAGATATACAATTTTGACCACCTACGAAATAATCCACCTCAGAAAGAATAAACCTTTTATAAAGTCACAGTGCATACCAAAGATCTGTTGAACTTGCTATAACTGTTCTCTAGAGCACTTCTCAGGCCATCATTACTGTCATGCAGCTTCCGGTTGGCTGTTCTACAGAATAAATAAATATATAAGTTAATAAATATGAGTGAACGGTTGAGTCATAAAGAAATGGTTTCAAATATGGAATTACTACCTTTTGTAACTCTATCACTTCCCTTTGAGCCTTGTTATACACTGAGATAATTTACTACTTGTACTACTTTCATAACATATTAATTGAAGCATCATATTTCCTTAAAGCTGTTGGAACAGTTTATGAATGAATTGTTATTAGCTACTCTGGTATTTGAATAGGTTTCATCCAGGTCTATCCTACATGAATATCTAGTCCTATCACCTGAATAATGTGCTGCTCTCTCCTTATCCTGACCCACCTAACAGTCAACCAAATACACTGGGCTTACACCATGCTGCATTCTCCTGACTACTAGTACATTCTACTCCGGACCTGGTGTTGTCTTTCCAGGTATCATTGTTTACCAGTAAAGAGCTCAGATGCTGACTTCAGACTTCTGGGCTCAAATCCAAGGTAAGGTACTTACAGCTCACGTGACTTAGGCAAATCTTAAAACAAATAAGCAAACAAATAAACAAAATAACCACTTAACATGAAATTGGTGCTATTCATGGTGATCCCGTGTGTGTCAAAGTAGAAGCTTCCATGACTTGTATGTTTGAAGTGAACTGCCAGGCCTTTCTTCTGAAGTGCCTCTGTGTGAACACGATCCACTAATATTGTCAGTGACTGGCTGATTTGTTGATAACTCTTTGTAACTCGGAAAAGCGGCCCCTTTTCTATAAAATGAGGATAGCAGAGCTCCTGCAATGCAGAGTGGCCACGTTTTCCCTCCCTAATGTCTACACATCCTCCTTCTCTTGGCTTGATCAACTTTGCTCCAGGAGCACGCTCTTCACCACCTCATTTAGCATGTGAAACTTCCCGTTGTCTTCCATCACTCATGGGACATTTCTTCCTCTCTTCTATAGCTCCTGATGCTTTTCTTCTTCACCTAGACTGGCCTCATAAGGATATGTTCTTCTCTCACTTGCACCCGGTAGCACTGCGGGCTAAGTATTGTCTCCCAACCACAAACTCACCCATTGCCCCGAGGGAGAAAAATGAGGCTGTCTGCTTCCACACAGTTTAGCATCAGAAACCCTAGGGAATCATTCTAACAGTTTGCTGTCAGTGAAAATCCATCACTTTAGTGGCAATAGGTTTTACCCCTCTGACCTGTTTCTGAAATACCTAACCCATAAAACATGTTGAGTGAAAATCTGTTGTAGCAATGAATAAATGAATTAATGTGACCGCTGCAACGAATGAGCTTATATGTGAAACTTAAATATTTAAAATGGTAAGAAAGAAACATCTGTCAAGCTGACCTTACTTCACTGGGGATGTGGACACTTAAAAGACAGCAGAAGAAAATACTGAGTGGGTTCGCATGACAAGAAGGGGTGAGGAGAAGAGATGTTGTGGAGAAAGCCCTCAAGAACAGAATTATTTGCCATTTAGCTGTGAAGCTGACACCCATAGGGTTGGCACTGAGTCAATTCCAACTCGCATGGCCTTCCTTCTGAGGGGCCTCCAGATGGGCTTGAACCACCAAACTCTTGGTTAGCAGCCAAATAATTTTGCTGTTTGCCTCACCAAGGGTATCCAAAAATGACACCACAGGTGTAATATCTCCATCTGAAAAAACCTAACAAAAACATGCAGGGTCGAAATCGCCTCTACAGCAATAGTTTGGCACAATCAATCAGGAAAGAAGGTTTCACGCACACAGGGCTGTGAAGGGCAACGAGAGGAGAAGCAGGAAGATTCACTGAGCAGAGCTGCAGAGAATCCTGGTGAGACCAGGGCAGTAATTCTTCACAAAGAGACATCGCCGGGCAAGTGAGGACGCACAGTGCGATGGTTTGTTTAGCATTAGCGGCATCGAGGAGCACAATGGATGAGCTGGGTGTGGAGCTGTGAGAAGAGATGAGGACGCACAGTGCGCTGGTTCGTTTAGGGTTAGCGCATCGAGGAGCACAATGGATGAGCTGGGTGTGGACTGTGAGGAGAGACACACTGGCCTGAGAACCCCATCTTTTGAAAACAGACATTTGTCTTAGATGGGGTGTGTGTTTTATGAATCTTCTTTCAAAAGAAAAGCTAGAATATAATGAAAAATGTAGATGCAAACTTACTGGAGGATTTCAATTTGTCTCTCAAGACTAGTTCGATCTTCTGTGTACTCGCGGATTATTTCCAGGTCCCTGTAAATTCATATTTTATGATTGAAGGACAGTTAGCCATTCAGTCTTATACCTCATCTACACCTACCCTGCCCGTCCTTTTCCAAAGACAGGTGCCCTTTTGATTTCATCTTCACACCTGCTCCACTCTCCTAGGGCACTGGCTGTTCTGGCAGCACAGTCCTCTGTTTCCAGGCCCCTGCATACAGCCACATGCTATGCTGCCGTGGAAAAGCCTGTGCCCCGCCGTGACACCTGCCTCTACCCATCAACACATCCCTGCACCAGCAGCTCTTCGATCCCCCACCCCTGTGACCCAAGACCTCTGAGACCTTCTCCTAGATTCCTGATCGCTAAGTGTTCACAGTAGTCCGGCCCTTCGGTCTAATACTCTTCTCTGCTCATTCCAAGCTTTATATGCAAATGCCAACACGATCCACTGCCTTCCCGACCTTGTCCCCACTCCTGCTCCTACTCTCTTCTTCCTCCCCCAAGGTGGAGAGAAGTCCCAGACTCAGGCTCTCTCTCCTCCCTCAGTGTACATGCACATTCTGCAATCCCTCTGCGGCATTATTACCGAAGCCTTGGTTTCCTCTTCAAAATGCCTGCAGAGGGCAATTTGCACTCTCCGCCGGCCTCCATGCCACCTCAGCCCCATTGCTAAGTGGACGAGCTTCTTACTTAACTTGTTCTTACTTAGAACTCTTAGGGTAACAGGTTCTATCTCAAATAACCCGTCCACATTCACTCTTTGAAAGGTACGTGTTGAGAAAGTTGTTTACCACATGGTCTTCTGGCCCTCACCTGGACAACCTAATCAGATGGTCGGCCTAGATCACTGCTTAATATTGGAGGTTGGGCCCTGAGCTTCTTCTGTCCTGTTTCTTCATCATTAACAGGGAACCTCTTCTCCATTTCTGCATATACACTAAATCATCTTTGTCTGGCTTACTACTTAAGTGTGTGTGACAGATGGCACCCCACGCTGTCTGTCCCTGTTAGGGGTAAGAAGAAGAGGTCCTTTGCCTGAAGCCTGAGAAAGGAGTGCTGGCAGACCAGCTTCCCTGGTTAGTGGGGAGTGAGACCTGTTGGCCGTGGAGGACCGACACATACATATGGAACTGAGCACTCTGTGTTGCTTCTCTATACAAATCAAGTATTATTTCAACCAGTGTCTGAACCAGTCTGGACTGCCAACCATTTCATTCAGAACTGAGCACTGTACCATCGCACCATCAAGGTTCCTTTTCTTTTTTGCACATCCCCATATATCTATAAGGAGGAGCCCTGGTGTAGTCGTGGTTTAAAACCACCAGCTGCTCCATGGGAGAAAGATGAGGCTTCCTCCTCCCGTAAGAGCTACAGTCTCTGAAACCCACAGGGCAGTCGTTTTCTGCCTAGAGGATTGCGCAGAGGTGGAATCAACTCAAAAGCAGTGAATTTGGAGTTTTTATATAAATATCCAAGGAGTCAAGGTGGCCTGGGGGACTATGAGTTGGGCTATTAAACATAAGGTCAGCAGTTCAAACCTTTTCTGGGGTTTTCTACTCCAGTAAAATTTTACAGTCTGATAAATCCACAGTGGAAGTTCGACTTGGTCTAATAGAGTCACTAATAGTCAGAATTGATTAGATGGCAGTGAGTTTTGTGATAAATATAGAGTTTTGTGATAAATATCTATAGCTCTCCAAAGCCCTGGTAGTAGGATGGGTTAAACTTTAGAATGCAAGTTAGCAAGGTCAGCACTTCAAATCCACTAGTTGCTCTTGGGAGAGAAAGATATGGCTGTCTGTCCCTATAAAGATTTACATTCTCAGAAATCCAATATAGGGTTGCTATGAGCTAGAATCGACTGATGGCAGTTTCAAAATTTATATGTGTGTGGGTTAGGACTTATGTTATTACCATCAGAACACACAACATGGGAAAATAAAATCACTTGCCAAAAATATCCCATTTCCTGTCATATGATGTATGTCTACAATCCCAACTTCAGAGGATTTTAAATAGCAGATTCCTAACAAATTAAGTATAGTCTTCTGTTCCCAGTTATTTCAAACACTTATTAAGCCATTAACTATGCTAAGCAATAATTAGTCTGCTTGATTTTAAAAATCATTAACATGAAAAACACTAGGAAATCGTACAGTAAAATGTTTAGGTACAACATATTAGAAAAGTTAATAAATCAACTTTTACTATTATTTGCAAAGAAGATTAACTAAAAATAGTCATTCCATTCAAGCAAAAGAAAAAGAAACAAATACCTTTCAGAGTTCAGAGTCTGATCAGCATAATCACTTTTCAAAGCATCCAATTCACTCTGAAGAAAGGCTATGCTTGTTTGTGCTTCTAAAAGATCTTTCCTAACTTTCTGATTTTCCTAGAGAAGAGGAATAGAGTGAGCACCAGACTCATTACTTCTGCCTACACAGCACTCCTCACCCCTCCAGACCGCTCTGACTTTGCTGTCCCATGAAACACTGTCATTCAATGCAGTTTGAGATTATCATATATTCTTACTGTGTCAAAAATCTAAATCCTCAAAACTGAACTTTTTAAAATACATTTGATATTTGTAGCAAAGTACAATAGTCAAGAGCTTATCATCATGCACTTTTAAATGTTATCAGTGAAATAATCTACACCAAACATTTGAACACCTGTTTAACTTAATGACAGCTATAAAAGTACTGATAAACAATCTGTGGAAGTAATAGTGCATTATCAGCAAGCAGAAAGACTACAGGTTACAATGTGTCCTATCGTCAAACATTGTTACGTTTTTCACTTAAAAAAAACTATGGCGAGGGCATTTTTATATTTTCTGAAAAATACCATCACTGGAGACTTCTGGTTAAAAATAATAGAGCTACCATATGAGTTTTTCTTTTCCCCCTTCTGCAAACCATAAATATGAAACCCTAGAAGAAATGAAACAATGTCAGTCTGGTATAGTTAATTATTTGATATGGCTCTCCTATCAACAGTCTTTATAACACCCAACACATAATTTGGGAGAAACATGCCAATAGGGTATATGACACTCTAATGTGAAGGTTGGTCACTTTGCCATTTCACTGGGTAAAAAGTGAACCAACTCAGTAGTGGAATGGGAGATCTCACTTCCACCAAGAAAGAGGAGGCAGGAATGGAGTGCATCATGTACCTGGAGATCCCTGTGTGGGAATCACAGTAGGCAACTGTGATGAGAGAGGACGGGAGAGAAGAGGCAGCAGCACAGTCAAGAGCCAGAGTGGGAGACCGAGCAGTTGTCTTTGTGACCCACAGAATGAGTAAAGCCGAGTACCTTCAGGCAGGGCACTCATTCTGGAATGGGGTACCTCCAAGATCATTTGGAAAGAGGGCGGGTAAGTTTGAAGGGTTCGAACCAAAGACCTTCAGGCTGAGGGTTATGGTAAAGCGGAGTGCCCTATGGGCTGAGCATTCAGCAGCAGGATCACAGGTTTCTAATTCTTGCCCTGGTGGGGCAGAGACCAAAGAGCCACATGACTGAGAGATCTTGAAGCTGAGAGAAGTGTGACTGAGAAAAGGCATAACTGACCAAAGAACCACTGTATCTTGAGCATTTCTGATATTGAATTGTTACCTCTTCCCTTCCCTAATAAGTCCCTTAACTGTGAGTTTTGTCTAAATTCTGTGTAGCCATTGTGATAGATAATAGAGACCAGCAGAGGAGTAAAGAGTGTTGTGGGGCAGATGGGTGGTGTCAGGTTGGTAATGTTTCGAGGATGGAGATATGTCTGCCTTTTGCTTCTTAGGAATCATCCTTGGTGTTGAGTTGGATTTTCCTTCCCTTTTGTGAAGTCTGAGGAAGTCAGAGGCTTCCCCCTCACCCTTTCACATTGGGCTGCTAACTTCAAGGTCAGCATTTGAGAACTACCAGCTGCTTTGTGGGTGAAAGATGAGGCTTTCTACTCCCCTCTACAGATTGACAGTCTCCGGAAACCACATGGGCAGCTCTGCTCTGTCCTCAAGAGCTGCTACGAGTCCGAATTTACTCAATGGCAGTGAGTTTGATTTTTAAAGAATGGAAGAACAGATCATGAGCAATATGGAGAGCTTATTGTTGAGCATTTCTGGAAAATGGAAATGTGATGACAAAGGGATTATAGTTGGGGGAAGAGAGACCCAGAGGAGGTTGAAGACTTTGGCTCGGGGGGAGTGTGTAGATGAGCTGATACCATGGGCTCAAGTAGGAAGAAAATGTTTTGAAAATGATGGCTACACATGTACAAATGTGCTTGACACAATGGATATATGTATGGCTTGTGATAAGAGCTGAATAAGCCCCCAATAAAATTATGTGTTGTTTTTTTTTTAAAGAAAGCAGCAATTGGCCAGGTATAATTCCAGATTCTGGGAATAACCATGAGCTGAAATAGAGATTAAGTGTTCTGTGTATTAAGAAATTCCCTAAGCCCTTCATCTCTTTTACCGCAGCAAAGAATTACAGACAGCCAGAGTCAACTATAAAGGCAATAAGACAGAGTCTCTCTTTGTAAGAAGAACTGAATGAGAATAAAGCTTCTCTGTGACTAATCAGGCCCCACTCTTTCAGATAATCCTCAGTGCTAAAAATGGTTAACTGTTCAACTTTTAACCAAAAGACTGGAAGTTTGGATATACCCCGAGGCATTTCAGAAATAAATAAATAAACCCAAACCAAACTCACTTAATATATTGCTTATTGATCCAGACATATGGTTAGCATGTTTAGAAATAAAATCACTTCAATGAAAATTATAACAGTATTATTCAAAATTAATATTTCTTTAGGGAGAAAACAAAATAAACCCTATGCTTCATGAATAAAAAGAAGTGGCATTGGTGAAACATGAAGACATCAGAATCTCAGACAGAAACCCAATAAAAAAAGTTACTGTAGAAGAAAACCATGATTCAAATAGAAAGCCAACTATGATGTGGCACAACTAGGAAGTGACCATGAAACAAACTGGGAAGCTCCACTTTGGGGTGACAAGAGGATGATGACTAAATAGAAGGAAATGTAATCGTAACTCTCTTCTTGGATTTACCGTAGAAATATTTAGAATCATGATAAGAAAAATGTTCTTTATTCTCTTTAAAGCTCTAAAGTGTTCATAAATGCAAAATCTATAAAGATTTTAGGTTATGGACTGAAACAGAACAGTTTCCAATGTGCTTGCTTTGGACCCATCATCAAAGGTAGCAGTAACTAGAAGAGAACATCATGCTTGGTGAAGCAGAGGGCCAGAGAGACAGGGGAGACTTCAAATGAGATACATAGGTATAATAGCAGCAATGATAGACTTGAGTATGTTTGTAATTGTGGGGATAATGTAGTACCAGGTAACATTGTATTCCACTGAACACAGAGTTATGAATTGGAGTTGACTCAATGTCAGCTATTACATATTCATCTAAAGGAGAAATAAAGAAAACTTAATATTGATAACAGAATAGTTAACATTCGGTCGTACTCTAGTAGATAGATCCCAATCCCATCCCAGTTGTATCTTATGGAAGAACAGAGGCACAGACACAACAGGGGAAGGACAATGTGAAGAAACATCTGCAAACATCAGAAGAACACCACGGATGCTGGAAACCAAAGATAGGCGAGAGGCATGCAGTAGTTCCTCTGAGAGAGCGCACGGGAGGAGTCAAGACAGTGATACTCCGGATGCAAATTTCTGACCACCTACACTATGAGACAATACATTTCTGCCCTTCATAGTAAAGGTACTGTTTTCTATGACTTTTAATAATTACTTTGATTAAAATAATAAATAAATACATTCATAATATGTGTGGCTATTGTAGAAGAGAAAAGCATGTATAAATATACCTCAGCTCAAAGGCTTTTTAGAGATTCCCTAACACATTCATTTACCTTTAAGCTTCTATTTCTTTAATAATAGCATGACTATGTTTAGAAACAACAATCTAAAGGAAATGTATTTCTGTGAATAAATAGGTGATTCTTACCATTGATAAATCATAAATTTGCTTTTTTAATGCAGATACATCTTCTTTTTGACTTATATGTTTTGATTGTTCTTCTAGCTGGAATAGCAAATAAAAGGTATACATTTATGAGTCCATTTTTAATTAATCTGATAATGCTTAAGAATGTCTTAAGATATGGGAATTTAAAAAAATTCTGAATTGGCTGAAAATTTGCAGAGCAAATCATTTTTCCATCCAACAATTCATGCACATTTGTTTCAGGCCATTGACTGTACTCATTACTACGAAACATCACTTTTCCCGCTTCTTCCCCATTTCACATTTTTATTCCTTTTTCTCCAACCCTATGAACTTTATTCTCAGGAGTGCATACCACCCTAGTATCATTGTTGTCCTTACAGAACTATTGTTTGCCTAAACATTGAGCCACAGGGGTAACCTTAGTTCCACGTCTGAAGAATGACCAAGAACCATAGTCTCCAGAGTTCCACCAGTTTTCATCCGACCAGGGAGGCTGGCCTTTTTAATGATTTTGAGATTTGTTTCACAGTTTTTTCCCACTCTATCCAGGGCTTTCTAACGTAATCCTTTTCCAAGTAAGTTGGTAGTGGTAGCTAGCCACCAGTTAGTTCTTCTGATTTCTACTT